AGAGAAAACAGGTTTAAGATTGGCTACTTTGAATAATTTCAGCGGGTTCTGGGGCGCACAGACTTTGTTGGTCTAGCACTTGGGTATGGAGTTATTAGGGCAGCTGTTGTAGCCCAGACTGTGAGTATTCCCTAGGGAGGTGGTTTGGCGTGTGGACTCTGGATTGATTGCTTTGTATTTGAAAAGTGTACTGCTAGGAGGAGGACTCCTGGAAGAAGTTACAAAGGAGATGGGAAGCCTGGGAAAGGTGATTTAGGCATATTATTGTCAGGTTGCTCAGAACAAGCTTTGTCCAACCTATGCAGGTGAGGCCTATGTTAAAGGTCCACTATTGCAGAAGCTAGGAACATGGTTGATATACAGATGCTGGCTCAAAGTAAGAGAACAATTGGAGTTAACCTTTGTCTTGGTTACATTTTTCAAATCGCTGAGACAAAATACCCATCACCCAAAGTTAGAGAAGGAAAAGTTTATTGTAGCTCACAGTTTGTAGAGGTTTCAGTCCATAATCAGCTGGCTCCAAGCAGAGCAGCATGTAGAAAGGTATCACAGAGGAGAAAGTTCATGGCAGGTAGAAGACAGCACAGCAGTTAAGTGGCAAGCAACAAAAAGTGACTCTTTCTGTCCCTTACATTACCTCCAGGATGGGGTACCCTTAATCCTACCCAGAATTTTGCCAACCCAATCAGTGGACTAATTTAGTAAATCACACACCATTTATCCCAGTATCACACACTCTAGACCCAGCTACATCTGAAAAGCCCTACCTATGACCACATGAGGATTTGAGGGGACATCTTAACACATAACACAGAATAACCATGGTTTGGGTTTTGCCAAAAAATACACTGAAATAAAAGAAGGGCAGAGGATGTGAGAATATCAGTAATGCATGATTATAACAACTATCAATTATAATAACTTTTAAGATCAAGAGAGAAGAGAGCATGAGAGACAGGTAAGGCATTAAAATGTTAGAACCAAAGGCTTAAAGGTCATAACAGAATGGGAGGATAATTGATGTTGGAGTTTAAGAATGTAGAAGCTGGAAAATAGGAAGTGATCATTGATTTTTCTAAAGACACATTCAAGTGTATGACTGTGGCTCAAGTAGCAAGGCAGGTAAGTTCATTTATGTAGGAATATTTCAAAGAGCTAAGAGTTCCATGTGGTAGATTGATTACCTTCAGGGATTTTTGAAATATCCAGTAATTGTGCCCTGTGTAATATTGACAAAGCCAGTGATCCAGGATATAAAATCTTCAGGGGATAGGGGAAGGGATGTGGTAATGAGGGTAAACTGCTATTAGGAAATGGAATATATAGGACTTAATATAATAGCATTCCTATTACCAGCGCATCATACCCAAATCCCACATCTTAAAGAGAGGCATAATTTGGCTCAGGGTTTCAGAGCATTTAGTCCTTGGTTGGCTGGCTCCAAGTCAAGAACATTATGGCAGAATAACCTGGTAGAGCAAAGCTCTACCATAAATCAGCACAGGAACAGTGCAAGAGCAGAAGGGGGCAGGGGCCATATAATACCCAAACTCATCTTCATAACACACCCAGATGGTGCTTTACTAATAATTCCCTGGGTGTTCCTTAATCCCATCAAATTGACATATCATAATTAATGATCACAATCCACACATGTCAACTTGACAACAGATATATCTTAAACCATACTTAATCACCAAATAAAGATAACAGTTCATAATCCTGGCTGACATGATAGACTATCCTATGCACAATCTGAGTACAGCTAATTCTCTCCTTAACATCTGATCAGTAATAGGATTTTTAAAGGCCCAAGTCAAAGTCTCTTCTGAGAATCAAGTCAAACTTTTAGCTGTGAATCCCTGTAAAAATTAAAAAAAAAAAAAGTTACATAATTGTAAGGTATAATGGCACATAGTAAATATTTCCACTCAAAATGGAGGATTGGGGGATGAAAAAGAATCAGACCAAAGCAAAACCAAAACCCACCAAAGCAAATATTAAATCCTGTGGTTCCACGTCCAAAATCCATGGCACATAAGTGGTAAGATTTGAATTCTAGAGGGTGTAGTTGGTACCAGTCCTATGACTTCTCTCTTAGTTTGGTACCACTCAGAGCCTGCAGCTTACCTTAACAAATATTCCACATCCCTGGCATCTGAAATTCTGGGGTCTCCACTGCATCTCTGGCTTCATTCTCACAGCTTCATACCTTGCCTTCTCAGGGGCTTCTTGGCTGGCCTCCCAGGCCTTCCTTTAAAATCTGGGTGAAAGACTCCCTAATCTGACAATTCTTGCATTCTGCATGCTGCTGCATGATGAAACCAGCATTATATGGATAACATGAAGATATGTGCAAACAGCAGCCAGGCCCCACTGGACTATAACTGCATCATCCTCTAAGTACCTAGGTACCTGAGCACAGTGAAATAAATTGTGGAAACCAGTTCTCTAGGTCTTTTCAAGTATAGGTCTGAAGGACTCTCTTTGCAAATGAAAGGTTGATAATTTTGCATCCTGAAGCCTAGTGAGGTATTCATGGTTTCCGAGATGCCCTCAAAGTATTGTTCTTTTTATCCGTGCAAAAAATACTTGGTTTCTTTAAATGGTGCTAATCTCTTTAGCCGTCATACCTCCATTTACCCCCAACTTTACACACATTCCTTGGGGCCAAAATTTGTTTTACAAAATTTTCTGCTCTGCTTTGTGCTTCAGATTTTCACTATAAATTTTACTAAAAGCAGCCAGCAGTACCCAGGCCACAGTGAGAATGTTGAGCTGCCTTCACATTTCTTCCTTCAAATCAATCAGTCCTGTGCCTTTTAATCTCAGTCTCCTACAGAGTCTCAGGACATGGTCAAAATGTCAAAAAATTTTCCCAGAATGTAACACATATGGCCTTTAATCCAAGTGCCAATTATATCTTTGTTCCCAAAGGAAACCTTGTGAGCCTGGTCTTTATATCCACATTCCTATCAGCATTCTGGCTTCTGAGCTTTGACCTGAGTCACCCACCAGGCTTTGCTTTATTACAGAATTATAAGGTTCTCTAGGGTACATCTCCAAACCTTTCTAAGTTCCTCCTGCAAACCAATCCAAAGGTCAGGCACATTTATGGCAACCACCCCACTCCTGGTACCAGTTTTCTCGTTGGAAGAAAATACCCAACATTCCCAGCTAAAAGGAGGAGTGTTAATTTGGCTTATGATGTCAGGGGATTCGCTCCATGGTTAGCTAGCTCCTAAGCAGGAACATCATAGTAGAAATGCATGGTGGAACATGGCTGCTCACTTCAGCATTGCCAGAAATCAAAGCAGATAAACAGTGCTAAGAGGAAGAGGCCAGGGATCATTATAGTACCTAAGGTACTATAGACATCCAAAAGTGCTTTGACAGCCTCCTGGATGTTTCTTAATCCAGTCAAGCTGATATGTCATGATTAATGGTCATACATGGCCATTTTCATGGTGAATTTTCAGGGACTATATAGTGAAAGAACAGATTACTGCAATCTGACCCTAGGTATAATTTGCAAAGAAGGATTCTAAGAATAGAAACAAAATGGCAGGATTGAATTTTACAAAGACAGTAGGACATAAGGTTAGGAGAAAAAAAAGAGTTGAAGGTAAGGCACAAGAGAGATTTAACTGATAAATTTTATATTCTATTAACTGGAGAAGAGCAGAAGTCTAAAAGGTTAATTGGTAAAAAATGGAAAAGTCTGATGATCAGGTATCTCGAGGAGGCTGAAGAATAGGAAACTCATCAGAAACCATTTTGAAAAGTCAATTTTAAGGGAAATAGTCAACTTTCAGATGCTGCAAAGATAAGTACTGAAAAGAATACCTTGGATTCAACATTTGAAGGGATGGATGATTTTAATGGAAGTAGAGTCTATGCAGTAGAAGTGGGTAGAACTAGATCATATGAAATCATGGAGCAAATAAGCTATAAAGAAGTAGATGGGATTGGGGTATAGTTGAATGATAGGGACCTTCTGTGTGGCCCTATGTTACATCTCCAGCACAGCCATACCCCATTCACAAAAGTATTCTTGACTACTATTTTAGAAAATTGGACTGTGAAAGAAGATGTAGTATAGATAGAGGAAGATGGGTAAAGGGAACATGTTCACCTTGAGAGGATGACTGGGGCATAATTATATGTTCATGGGGAGGTAAGAATAGTAGACCTGAAATTGCTGATGGAGAAGAGTTTCTGAGAAAGCAGTGAAAGATAGTTTCAGAGCAGAGCTAAAAGCCTGATCTTGGATAGAAATGACACCTCTGAGGGAAAGAGGAAAAAGATAATGGATTGAGACAAGTTTGCAGGAGAGAGAAGAATTTGAAGATGAGAGAAAAATAATCTGGAGTTTTTATATTATTGTAACTTTTTGATACTTTTGTTAATGATGTTGGGAGTCAAATCCTTTAGAGACTAGAGGAAGGAGGATAGGGTTGGCTACTTAAAAAGAATATAAATTGAAAATGGTATGTGAAAGGAATTCATTTTCTCATTCAAAAAATATTTAGTACCCATGATACACTGGACACTGGTATATATATTAAGGATAAAGTAATAAGAGAACTCTTGTCCCAAACATGCTTACAGTCTATGGAGGAAGAGAAAGCAGAAAATAAAATGTAAGATAGAAATATTGTGAAGAAAAAATATAAAACTTGGGTGGATTTTTGTCATTTAAGAATTTATTCTTTTGTGATCTTTTAGAATTTAAATGTAAAAGTATTGTTGAAAATACTTTATTTGGAAGCATATTTCATTTCTAGCAACCAAGGATAGATCATCCTCATTTTATAGACATGAATAAAGAGTTCTAAAATGAATAAAATGAAAAATATAGGTCCTGTATTACAAAACTTACAGAATAAATAAAAAATAAAATTATATTTTATACTGGATACATATAGTTTTATTATGTTTTCTTCTTATTAAAACTTATTACAGGCTGGGCGTGGTGGTGCACGGCTGTAATCCCAGCACTTGGGAGGCTGAGGCAGGAGGATCACTGTGAGTTCGAGACCAGCCTGAGCTACATAGTTCCAGATCAGTCTCACTATATAGGGAGACCCTGTCTCAACCCCCCCCCAAAAAAAATTATTACAGTTTGTTCAGACATGAACATACTATTCTTTCCCAGGTTTTTACTTCTGATTAAATCTGCATAGGTATGTGCATGACACACTTATTGGTCTTTACTACATGATAGGCATTTCTTAACTACAGTACATAAATTAGTTCATTTAATCCTCATAATACCCTATGACTTAGGTACCATTGTTATTTCTGTTTTATAAATAAGCAAGCTAAAACCCAGAGAAATCCCCATAGAGTTTGGATCTCACCACCTATGTCTCAGCTGTGGTAGGAATGTGTATTCCCTTTCAGCCTCTGTGACTTGACGTAAGTAGCAAGCCCTGGGGTTGATGTAACAGGAAAGGTGACATATTACAGATGAACTCTCTAAGATTATGCTAACACAAAACAATTTCTCAAGGAGCAATCATTATTTCACTCTATCTGTGTAGATTATTTACATAATTTTAAGGGAAAGCTGTCCTTTTTATTATTGGTTGGTTTTTAAATTTTAACTCTGGATCTTCTGAATTATATTTTATTTTCCTTTTATAGGAGTAGTGTCTTACAATCAAAGAAGTCTATCAGCTTTACTGAAAAAGCAAAAGAAACTTTGAAGAAAGGATATGCTGGTGCGACTCAAAGCAGAATGGGTGTGTCAAGAAACTTACTTATTTTACCTGAGATGAAAATGACAGAAAAAATGAATATTTCCAGTGGTAAGGTAGTACAGGTAATGTTCTTTAGAATTCTGGGTTTATTTTAAAATGACATCATAAAAAACTTGATTGTTATTTTAAAAATAGAAAATGTAGTGCTGCTTTCAGGAAATTACAACTAATATTGAAATACTGATTTTCTTAGAGTTTTTAACCCCATAATGTTCCTTATAACGTAATATTGGCATTTAGCTCCTACAATTATTGAGAATAAAAATTCAGGAGTAGAATAAAGCCTATTTGTGACCTTACAAACTGTTGTTTGTGGTAATAATTATAGCTAGTACATTACCATTATCATCTAATTTTCAGCAATATAGTGTTGCAAATGTCATAAAATGAGTTGTCGTAAATTAGAAAATTGACAGACTTTTTAAAGCTTTTAGTCAAATCATAATGTAACATATAGAAAAGTATATTTCATGTATACATTATAACTTTGAGCAAGGCAATGATTCTTGAAATGGCACATTAAAAGAGCAGTCTATAAGAGATAAAATTGGTAAATTAGACTTCATAAAAATTGCAGCTTTTGTCCCTGGAATGACATTGGTAGCAGAATGAAAAGAAAAAAAAAGCCACGTACTGGAAAAAACTGTAAAGCGTATCCTCAGAAAGTAATTGTAACTATATATACTTTTAAATATATAAAGAACTTTCAAAACAATGTTAAGGCAACCTGTTTTAAAAAATGATCAAAATACTTGAACAATCACATCACCACAGTAGACACACAGATGGCAAGCGGGACAGGAAAACGCGATCAAGGTCAGTCATCAGGGAAATGCAGATTTTAAAATACTGCTAAATATATTAGGATGGCTAAAGTTAAAGACCAACAAACTGTTTGCAACCTATAGAGGAATGAAATCGTTAAATACTCTGATAGTACATTTGGAAAATAGAAAATAATTTGGCAGGTTATTAAATATTAAACATGTATTATACTAGTATTCTACTTCTAGATATTTACCTACAAGAAGAGAAAATTGATACTCATAAAAAGACTATTACATGAACACTAAATATTTAAATATATTATATATGATCTCTGCATATCTATCTATACTCACATACATATGTACACGTAGATTGAAAGGTGATCTGCTTTTGCCCCCTCTGTCCAGCACAATGGGAACACTAGCCAGAGCAATTAGGTAAAAAAAGGAAATCAGAGGTTTCCAAATTGGAAAGGAAAATAAAATTATCTCGTTCAGAGATGACATGAACGTCTCTGTAGAAATCTCTACAGGAGATTATCATCTCACACAGTCACATACGTATGCATAAACTAATAAACCAAATTCTGCCATTTGCAAGATAGAAGGAAATCAACGTATAAAAGTGAATTCCATCACAATGAATAATTCAAAGAGAAATTTGCTATAACATTAAGAATAAAAACCTTAAAAAAGAAAAATAAATACTTAGGAATAAATTTACTCAAAGAGGTCAGAGATTTGTACACTGACAACTACAAATACTATTGAAAAAAATGAAAGAAAACACCCAATAAATGGAAAGGCAGCTTTTGTTTATAAAGTGGAAGGCTTCTGTGTTAAAATGTTTATACTACAGAAAAGAATCTGCAGACTTAATGCAGTACCTAATACAATCCCCATGATGTTTTCAGAAAAAGAAAACTAACCCTAAAATACCTATGGAATATCAAACAATACCAAATAGACAAAGCAATCTTGAATTAGAACAAAAAACTTGGAACACGCTTCCTATTTCAAAATTTACTATAAATCCATAGTAATAAAAAGCAGTTAAGGTAAATTTTATGTGTAACTTGCCACCATTTTAAATAGAACTTCCATCCTAACAACAGAAAATGGTTAAATTTTTTTTTTTAAAAAAGCTCATGTCTCTGCAAGTGAATCTAAGAACAAACAGCAAATGAAGAACCATCTAATCTAGAAAACCTGCCAGTTGTGCTAGAGTCTAAGATAGGCTTAGGTTTGGGGAAATGACTGGAAACTGCTGAGCACCCATGGGCAGTTTGATGTCTTGTAAATCTCTCTCATCTTGATGCTTGTATTCCTGAAGGGGGATGAGGCAGGTGATATAAATTTAAGGTTTTGGAGGTAGTATGCAGGTGGAGTTTGGAAGAGCAGGTTAGAGAAAGCCTAGAAAATGGAACTTAATTATGATGCCACAGAAGCTTCAGAAGATGAGATAGGAAGTCAGGCGTCACAGGCTGCACTGATGAGATTCGAGATGGAAATGAGAATTCTGTTGGAAACTGGACCAAAGCCCATCAGTGTTACACCGTAGCAAAGGATTCGGTGCATTTTGTTCATGCCCTAAGATTTTGTAGGCAGCTAAGTATAAAGGTGATACACTAGTTTTTCTCCTAAATTTCAAGGATGTACAGCATTCGGGCTGCATCATGAGTAGCAAATAGCCAAATTCACAGTGAGATTCAAGAATAGAAGAAGAGCAAAGGATTTGGAAAACGAAGAGGAGGATTTGAAAAATTTTAACTCGGCCAGGAAAGGAGAGCATTGAAAGGTGCTGCCCCAGAGGGTGTAATTGCTAGAGATCAAGCGGTTAAGGAGATGCCAAGAACAGTACTTTGTATGGGAAAATAGGACAGATATCCGAAGGGTACTCCAGGAATCTGCGAGACCACCCCACCCTTCACAGGCTCAAAGTGTTGAAGTACAAATTTGCTTCCGAGACTCCAGGGTGATGTTTGTAAAGATTTTGTTCCCCTCTTCTCAAATAGGATATACTCTGTGCCTGGCCCTCCTCTGTATCTTGTAAGTATGGAATTTGATTTTTCATTTCTTGTAGGGGCTCACAGTAGAGTTTGCTCTGAGTCTCAGAGGAGACGTTGGATTTGGGCTTTTGAGCAATGTTGGAGCAGCTACAACTATGAGGGAGTCTTGGGATGGACTTTAAAAAAAGCATTTTGCGTTGTGTCTTAACTTTCTACATGGCTGAGGCACAATACCTAACACTCACGCCTTAATGGAGAAGAGGTTTATTTTGGTTCACGTTTTAGAAGTTTCCGTCCCTGTTCCACAGGCTTAAGGAGAGAGAGAGAAGGGAGGAGCAGGGAGGAAGAGGAACCCTTATACCCTGGGTATGGGTGGCACTACCCAAGAGGTTTGTAGCCTGAATAGGTAAGAAATGGACGGCAGAATGCTGCTGCTGCCTGCCTGCCCCTCGGTGGACTGTTTGTGCTCACCACACCCCTCTGCCGTGCGGCTGTTCCTTGAAGCCAGCTGACTAGGAACTGAGACCTCCATAGGCTGTGAGCGGACACAGACCTCTCCTCCTCTAACTTGGGAGTGTTGGGTATTGTGTCTCAGAAATGAGAAAAGTGACCAAGACGCAAGGGTTACAGGGTACAGGGCTTCTTGAGATGATTAAAAAGTGTTATAATTAATTGCAGTGATAGTTTCATGTATGTATGAATACAACAAAAACCCACTTAATCATACAGTTTCAGACCTATTTTAAAAGTGAATCATTAGCCACTTTATAGTGGTGTACACTTGTAATCCCAGGACTCTGGGAGGCTGATGCAGAAGGACTGCAAGTTTGAGCTCGGCCTGAGCAGTTCAGTGACTTAGCAGGGCCCTGTCTCAGAGGTGTGGGTGTATGGACATAACTCAGTGCAAGGGTCCAGTATGACAAAAAATTTTTTTAAATTACATATTATAGGTAATATTTTTTCAAAATTGAAAACTACTATAGATATTTGTAATTGTAAAAATAAATTATTATATACTTTACAAATAGCCTTTGGAGGGCAGGCAAACACTGTGTAGACAGGTGCACTAGAGACTTACTGCTCAGTGACCAACCACGTGCAGGTACCCTACACACAGTAATATGCACATCTGATAGCAAGACGTGCTTGTACGATGTTATCTGTTTTCTGGGTCCTACTGCTTAGAAGCCCTGTTTTCTTTAATTATTTTATTTAAAATAATCATTTCTACAGGTGCTGGATAAAAATGGAGTTGATGTTACTCCGAGACCTCTTTACTACCCAGATCCACATGCAGCAAAGCCAAATAAACTACTGTCATCCCAAGAAGGCTCCCTTGGGTCGGATTTTATCACCTCCTATAGCATGTATCAGAACACAGCGAATCCCAGTTTGATGGGGCAGTTCACCAGGTAAAGCATGCTGCTCTACAGTTTTTCTTTTCTTACCATATATATATTGTATTTGCATTCAAATTGCATATATAACTTAGATATCAATTGTCTGAGCCTCCCAACTTGAGTGTATCATCCTAGCTGCAGGGCTCTGCATGACTTAAAAAGTTCCCAGACACACCAACATATTTGTGAAATGTATAGAGATTTTACTTAAGATTTCCCAAGGCACCAAAAGAAAGGGCTAACATTTACTTTCTTACAGTTGATTGCAAGTTCTCATTAGTATTTTTCCTTAGTTTCTTTAGCTTCTCTTATGCTACATTTTATGGGAAGAGGTGGGTTTGCTCTCTCTCCATCCACTCAAGAAAATCTTTGTTGTTCTAGGGATTGATTTTTATGTTATTTTAGAATACAGAACAATTAAATACTGCTTATCTTATTTACTTTCTCATTGCTGAGACACAATATCTGACACCCACAAATTAAAGAAGGAGAGATTTATTTTGGCTCACAATTTACAGTTTTCAGTCTGTGGTTGGCTGGCTCTAAAGCAAGACAGCATGTCAGAGGGGCATGTTGGAGGAGAAACAGTCCACAGCAAGGCAGTCAGGAAACAAATATATTTATTTTTCAAGGGAGAAGCTGGGAAGAAATAGACCCAGACCATGCCCCCACCACCACTGACCCAGCTATTCAGGTACCGGATTCCACCTTCTAACCTCAAGTCAGCTATGAGCCCCCAGGATCTAACCATCTTCCAAAAGCCCCACCTATGAACACATGAGGCTTTGTGGAGACATCTAGATAGAAAAAGAAACGCTGCTGTACAACTTGCCTCCACATCTCCAGATGAAAGGCATGGGAATGCTAGGTAAAACAAAAGATATTTCAATAAACTTGACCCATTCTTTAAGTGGGCCATTGAGACTAAGTAGAAAAAGGATATACTTCATAAACATATTAATATGTTTAAGGAAAATATTTTTTGATTCTTTTGTTGATTTCTTTTTGACTTCACTGATGTTTTTAATTCAGTTTGAGAGAAGTCTTATAAAATTGAGCAAACTAAATTTTAGGATGATATTTGAACAGGAACAGAAACTACATGATAAATGAAAGTAAGGGTATTGTAGGATGGATGAGGCCCTGAAATAAGATCGCTCCATAAGATTGAGAAACTAAAAAACAAAAAAACAGTAACAAAACAGGGAAGAATGATAGTGGAAATGAAGAGTCAGAGAAAGTAAAGCTCTATTTTGGAGTTTTGTCTTAAACATACTTTTATTCCAAGTGCATACTGAATGCCTTTATTCATGAAGTTTGTTGGTACATTTTAGGTTTACATCACGCTAACAGTCATCATTGGGTATTTGTACCTGTACATGATGTATCTTGGTTCTTATTTTTCTGAATGACTTTAAATATAGTTTTGACATGTGTTATTTGAAATGTATTTTAAATTACTTTTGATTTGAAGAACATTAAAATCAACTCAATATTTTTCAATTATTTTGATCAGTGCAGTTTGATCTATGTTGCTGTTATGATTATAGTGTATTTGATTGCTCCATCTAATAACGTGTTCTAATTTACATGTATTGCCTATAAAGGCACTTAAATAAATGATAATGTTGTTATTCATTGTTAAAGGTCAGTTATTGGCAGCAGTACATTTTCTAAGTCAAGTGTATCAACAACTGAGTCCTTAGCAGAAGACTTAGAAGAACCATCCTATAAACGAGAAAAACTGGTCAGTTTTACAGGTAATAAAAGTGCTCTTTTGACTTTAATCTTTTTATCTTCACTCATTTTCAGTGATGCTGGGCACAGCTTGCATCCTTCAGTGAGGTTATCGCACACCTGTGAAGCTCTTAAGTCCTAGTGGCACAGTCTGCATGGCACTGTAGGTTCTTCCCGCCTCTTGATCCTGTGTGCAGACGCACAGAGTTGCTCCCCTGATAATGCTCAGGTAGCATTGGGAAATCATTACTGTACTACTTTTATCTCAAGTACTCAAAAAATACATGTTGGATAAACACAGGAAGGTAACTGAAGTAGATGAGTGCTTAGATTTGGGTTTCTAATACTATTTTCCAGCAAATGGGACCAGGGATCTTTGAAAAAAGTGACTGAGTCTTAGTTTCTCATTACTGGGACAAATACCTGCAACTTAGCGGAGAAAAAGTTTGCTTTGGTGCCCTATTATAGCCCAAATTATGAAATACCAATGAGTCCATACTGATATAAATAAATAAATAAAGGGTGGAGACACATCTCCTGTAAGAAGAGTTCTATTCATCTCTCATGAAGACAGAGCTCCACACCCTACCCTGTAAGTGTGGGCTTTTCCTTTTGACTTTCTTCTAAAGGGTCCATTATACAAAGGGGCTGGTAAAGAACAACTTTCAAGCGTGTCCAATACCACTGCAGCTCCGTGGTCAAGGCTGGAGTCACCACTGATAAGTCACGTCAGTAGCGTGTACGCTTGGCACATGGTGACGATGACATCTGATCTCTGTGATCTTCCTCCTGGGACTCAGAACCCTTATCTATACTAGAAAAACCCAAACTGAAGGACATTAGACAAAAATACATGACCGGCACTCCTCAAAACACCCAGTCTTCAAAACAAGGGAAGTCTGCAAAACTGTCAGTCTGTGATGAATATATATAAGGTGATAACTTGGATGAAGTCCTGTATAGAAAAGAATGGCTTTACTTAAAAATTAAGAAAATTGGAATAAAATACAGACTTTAAGTGATAATGAAATAGCAGTATTTTTTCACTAGTTGTATTAAATAATGTATATAAATTACAAATTATATAATGTAATAAATAATGTATCATAAGAATCTTAAAAATAGGGCAAATTGGATACAGGATATATAAGAACTTTTATATTGTTGCAAACTTTCTTCTGAAACTGTTCTAAAATTAAAAGTTTGTTAATGTTTTTAAAAGTCTAGCAAAGCTGTTAATGAGTCCTTTGGATGATTCTGATGCATCATAAAATTTGGAGAGCATTATTGTACTGCATAACCAAAAAAGTTCTATACTTAGGGAATCTCATAATTTTATTTACAAAGTAGGGGCAGACAGCATGTTTTATATAAATTGTCCTTAAATGTTCTCAGTGAATAAGTAATAGATTCCTTTTATGTGAGCACAGAAAGTATGTGGATTTGTATACAATCCGTTTGTGAGAAGTGACAGTAAACATCCTTGGTAACTCAACAGTGCTGTAAATATACTGAACACATTGGCTCAAGTAGAGCCCACGGAAGGCTGAATAGGCTGCTTTCTACAGAGGGCTGTGAAAGTAGCCAAATGATGGCATAGGTGAGAGTAGATATGGGAGATTGGAACCAAAATAATGCATTGTGGAGAAAGTCTGCTGTTATGCCCTCAAAGTTGGCAGACTCGCTAATCCATTCAGTTAAGGTTCTCCATCACCTCAGCCCCCCTCCCTTTCAGGGGTTCATAAAGGCATAGGAGGAGCCGTGAATGTCATACAGAGCTGCAGGCACCATCAGGAGTGGAGGAAGACGTATTCCCTCCGTCACTGGCAATAAAAAGAGGTACAGGCAAAGCAGATTGATTTGTGTCTCTTTCTAGGTAGAAGCAAAAATGGAGTCAACATCTGTGCAGGCTTGATCTATAGTTAGGAGACCTGCACCATGAAATAGATTCTGTAGGTAACGCTATTGATTTAATTGCTCAATATATGTCAAATTCAGGCAACATGCAGAAAATAATACAAAAATCCAGTAAAAAAATGCTGTTTGCTATCTTACAGTTTTGTCTATGAATGGTAATTCTGCCATTCATCGGGAGAGTGACAAGATAATTACTTTCTCCAACCATATAGATAAGTGAGATTTTACTAGATTAGGTTCTATATAGTAGTGCATTGTTATACCTTGTGTCTAAATGTGTCCCTGCAAAGCCTTATGTGGTCACAGGTGGGGATTTTCAGAGATGGCTGGGTCCAGAGCGTGTGATGCTGGGATCAAGGTTATGTAGTTACTAAATTAGTCCACTCATTGGTTTGGCACAGTTCTGGGTAGGATTAAGGGTGCCTCATTCTGGATGTGTATACTGGTAGCCCAGATATAATATAAGGGACAGAAATTCACTTGCGTGCTGCTTGCTGTCCTCTGCCTACCCCACCATGGACTGTTTCTCCTCTTTGATGCCCCTCTGCCAGGCCACCCTGCCTTGGAGCCAACCAACTTTGTACTGAAACCTCCATGAACTGTAAGCTAAATGAAATTTTATTTCTTTAACTTTGGATGTTGGGTATTTTGTCTCAACAATGAGAAAAGTAACTAAGACATACATCTAATGCAAGATTATTCGGCTTTGCAATTAGCACATCTGTGGAACTGCAATGCCACTTTATGGTATATAGTAACTAAATCTAGTTGTCTAAAAATAACAAAGATCAGAAAATCAGTAATCTAAATTTTTAGTCATAAAATTTCCAGCATTTCCTGGTGCGCTCTTAGACTTCTTATCTTCTCTCTTGCTTAATGTCTTTTTTTTTTTTTTTTT